GTCATTGTTGGCACAGTTATCCTGTTTCATAATTTCAAGTGTTTCGTCAGTGGATTTGAAATAACTAGGTTAGCTTGTTTAGCTGCAGCAGATCTGCAATAGTTTTGGAAGGAATCATGCGATCACATTGTTAAAATAAGCCAATTTCCAGTGACAGTTGGCCAACCTCATAATTCTTAACAAGTGCTCCAGTCCCAGCTGCGTGTGTCACTTTTTAGGGTCCCCTGATTTCCGTTGTGTTATGAGGTTCTTGCAGCGTTTGTTAATGCTGCTCATATGTTCTCAAGTTGGTGAAGATGTGCCTTGATTTGTATGTGTTTTGGCTCATTAGTGTTTTTATATTCGCATCGTTTTTAAAACTGAAGTGCGTTTCTCCTAATGGAACTTCTTGGGCTGTTTTAATGCATGTGCCTCTGCCGGCCACCATGATAATCAATTGAAATGCTTCATTTTTCATTACAAGTTTCAAAAATGATATATTTTTTAATAATTTAAAGAAATGCTTTGAGGAAGAGAGGCCACACATGATTATGTTGACTGGAAAAGAACAACATACGTCACAATTACAATCTAAAATGACTGAGTTCACCCAACCCCGCCAACAGTTTTCCTTCTTTAAAAGTCTATTTATATCTCCGTCTGTATTATTCCCATAGCAATACTCTATATGTGATCTGCCTCCAAATAATGAAAGCGGAAATGAAAAAGGAGCAGAACTGCAGGGTAACAACACAGAAATAACACTCTTCTCCCTGCAGCTACATTCCTGTTATCCCATTCATTCACAGCTTTGATGAAACCCTAATTGATTCCTTTTCTTATACCTCAAGCAGACAGGTGGCAAAGAAAGATGTTTAGTCATGGTTGGATCAGTATGAATAGGTAAACTGACGCTTAATAATATTCTTAACCTCAATGAAGGTATTATTCCTCACTCCTTTAGAGCACACAGCTCTCTGTTAAGTAATGTAGCTGTTTAATCAATGTTTCTTTTATGCATATAAATTAACTTATTTGTTAATGTTTATAGAAACACACCAGTTACCTAGAATTAGAGGATTCATTCCATATTATACCAACCCATAGACAACACAGCTGTTATTGTGTACCCACACCATTTTGTCCAACAAAGGCTACAGAACAGGTGCATGGTACGCTGTAACCCACGCTGCTCTCGCTCCACCTGCTGTGATAATTAATGAGCTGTTTCGATACATGGTGAAAATGCTTCTTCTCTTTTCAAGTTGTCGAGAATCTGTAGGACTTAGCAGCAGACGCAATGGGGTCATTGTGGATCTGGGGTTGATGTTTCTATCCCATTGCGCTATTGGATTTTAAGCTCTGGCTCTAGAGTGCACATAGGATAAACGCAGATAAAGGGTGATGGGTATAGAGTGCCACAGTGACGCTTCCTAAAACCCGGAAGTAAACTCCTTCCGGTTCCTTCGACAAAAACGCAATGCAATTTCTCCATAGGATTTTGGAAAATAGCTTGAAATAAGGTCTGTGGTTGAGACACATTTAAGAGAGGGATCACGTTTTGTTCAGCCGGATAATATCCACATGTCTACCCTACTTTTATAATTTTCTAATCACAAATCTAGTCGCCAGAAGCAAAATACTAACGTTATGCTATAAACGAACTACAGCAGGGTCGCTGCTTCAACGTCACGCCAACTTAAGATCGATATTCAAACATACAGATTCAAAATTGTACAAGTTGAAGTTTTTGTCTTAACAGTTTGCAAGAGCACAGGTACTTGCTTCAAGCAGAACAGGGGCAAACAAACTTAGCGGGAGTGTTTACGTGTTCGGCGTAATGACGTACAACGGCCTCGACAACTTCTGTAGTCCTATTCAACCACTTGCTAACAACCATCGTTTTTCAGACACGTAAACTCTTCAGAAATCACCAGTGGGGTAACTGCTGATGTATTTAATGTGGTAGAACAAAAGGTGATCCGTCTCTTAAATGTGTGTCAACCACAGACCTTATTTCCAGCTATTTTCCAAAATCCTATGGAGAAATCCCATTGCTTTTTTGTCGAGGGAACCGGAAGTGGTAAAATGCTAACTCACTTCCGGGTTTTAGGACGCGTCACTGCACCACTCTATTTAGATCTGTTAAAGAAATAATGTGATATGATTGGTCATCTTAGTGTGTGCGATTTTATTTGATATCTGATTGGTGTTAGCATTGTATGCTTTCATGTCTTGATTTCTAACGGCAAAAGCAAAGAAATCATTTTCAAAACGAACCAAAAGAGAATCTGAGAGAAGTGAATGAATAAGTGAGGAGAAACATTCAGATGAAGATTGACAAATGGATCAAGAGAGAAGGAATAGGAAATGCAGTGGACTTTAGTTAAAGAGCGTGGCAGAGAGAGATGAAATAAAGCAGAAAAGATAAGAGATAATCAGAAATAGACAGAGATGAGAGTAACAAGAACATAATGAAAATCACACAGAAGAAAATGAAGGGCAAGTTTACAGAGGGGAAGGGACAGAAACGGAGAGCAAGCGTGTGACAGACTTTCCCTGAGTCAAAGTCACAAGTCTCTCCGGTCAGCTCTAATTGTAGCAACAAGGCAAAGGGCATTGAAACACATAGCACTCTGTGGAAAAAGCACAGGGTGGGGGGATGTCATGAGGCCAAAACACCAGCAATCAAAGCTTTAAAAACATATTACTGCATGTGTGTATCAACATTCTTTACAGTACTAGCCTGTGGGGAGGTTGATGGAGGAGATGTTCACACCTTAATCTCCAGTCCGCTGATGCAACCGTCCAGATCACCCAACAGCATGCATATTCATTTAATGAGTCTGTCAAGTGTGTTCTCGCTAAGGTTTGTTTGGCTGTTTGGCAGCAGTATTAAGGGGAACTAAAGGCCAAATGTTCATGAAACTTGGGGGAATAGTCCAAGGAAGAACCAGTTTCCATTTTGAAGCATATTGACCTTAATAATGATAATCATCTTAATTCATAGCCCTTAAAGAAGGGCAAAAATACATTTATCAGTTTCTCCCACATGGGTACCACCCATCCCTCAACAACCCACCAACCAATATGACTGGAGAAACAAATTACTTAAGAAAGCATAGCAGTTGTATAGCATTAAGTCATGTACAGGAATAACAACATTTACATGTAAATATTTAATAGGGGAAAACTGTCATTGTGTATATATGTTCAGGGCTCGACATTAAGGGCTGCCTGATGGCCCGGGGCCATCTAGTATTTAGCTCGGGCAATGAAGCCTCACCTGCTGGTTGCCCGATCGGGCAATCTATTATGCCAGTGTCATGCAGCTTGCGGATCCAGTAATGAGTGACCCGACAGTGAAACTAAACATATCTATAACTAGTTACGGTAGTTTGAGAGGTAATTAAAATAGCTACGTGTGATATTCTAACCTTAAGTGTGTGTTTTGTCCGCTCACTGCTGCATGTGATCATGCAGAGCTGCGTGTCGACTCGTCAGCAGCAGCTGACTCTCTCTCCAGTCAGATTAGACTTCACTCGCGTTTATGTCCATATCGATCAGATCCAGCTTAGTTCTAGCTAATTGATATGACTACCTGCCCTCTATTAAAAGACCACCTAAAACAATAAGCGTTCGCTATGCAAACTGGGTGAGCCACACAGTATAGCAGCGCATTATGCATTTGTTTCATGGCCACCGGAACCCCGAGGCCCATACCAACAGATCAACGCACAATTCAACGCCATACAGCACAGTCTCTTTCTCCACCATTAAGTGTTAGACATTAGAATTGACTATTCTTGTCTGTCACATAAAGTGGCGCACTGAAGCGGTATTGCGCTAAAGGAATTATTTTGACCGAAGAGATTTAGATTTGCCGGCTAACGGGGAACTCTGACGTCGCCATTGTGTGTGCTTCGCGGATTGCGCTCGGCTCCTCTCGACTGCTGCTCGGGGGTCTGCTCGGTCAGCTTCCGGTAATGAGGAGGCATTCGTTCGACCAACTTACAGTAGATAACATTTACAACATTTTTAACAGGCGCGCCATAATAGTGCTAAATAATAGGGGTGCCCGAATGGGAAATTCTTGCGGGCCGAAACCCGATACCGGAAAAATAGGAAACAGTTGGCCGGAAAACCGAATGACCGAAAGGCCGAAATGATTAATAGAAAGTAATACGATACTAATATATATAATGTATACATTTTTTACCATCTTTAATTCCAAGTCCAATGCATTTTTTCTTTTTCTCTTGTAGGATAACTACAACAAAGTGCATTCAGAACGAAAGCCAAGGTGCTTCTAAAACTGCGATAAACCATCTAGGCCAGTTAGGCCTACCAACAGAGAATAGCTGCTGTAAATAAAGACTGTAACAGTCAGGCCTTCAACAACAACCCAAGATGCCAGCCTATAAGTGGCATGCATACCAAATGTGCAAACAGGATAAATCCAACATGAATGTAACTATTTACAAATGAAAGATTAGCAATTCACGATTTCATAAGCAAAGTAGTAAACATTGTATAAAGATTACATAAAGTGAAAACTGGGACTACAAAATCCACAATCAATTACAAATTAAATTACAATTCAAGAATTGCAAATAAGGGTCTGTCTCAATGAGCAATGTAACAACATTGTATCATTTAGATACGAAAGTACAATATATTGAACACTGTGTTGCTTGTCATTTCCCACCTAAGATACCTGAGGATGGTGAATTATAACTCAACAATGAAAATTGTTCAGTAAAGTGGGTATATGAGTAGACATGTAGAACT